TCAGGGAGGCTTCACCAGAGACAGAGTGGGGAGCAGAACAGGCAGATCAACGAAGAACACTGCTGAGGGGAGCAGTGGGCGGGTCAGGAGAGGTCTGCCGCACCATGTGGATCTCCTCTGGGGCAGGCGGTGATCGAACTCACGCGGAAGCGGCTTAAGCTTCTTAGTGCAGTGCTTTAACCCGCTGCACCACCAGGGAGGGCCCCTTAACAGATTTTTTAACGTATTGCTATTTTTATTTATTTAGGGTTGCTTCTTATTTATTTATAATGTACTTGTTATTGAAGTCCTGTTGTTTTACATCCTTGCTACTATTGTGACAGTATAGGGTTCCCCTCAAGTAGTCCCCACAGCACTCCCACTATCGAAGCACCCACCATCCTCCATCATAGTCCACTGTGCTCTGCCCCTGATCTATGGTCAGCTGTCAAAGATTGTTCTAAAGTTTGTCTTTGACTCTTTGTGTTGGGAGTGGCCAAGATAAGGGCCTTGTATCCGAGGGTGATAAGGTGGTAATAAACTGGGCTTGCATCCGGGATGGAGTAGGCAAAGGTGATAATCAACTGGATCTTACATCAAGGACACAGCGATGAGTCACTCCTTTGGAATCTGAGTTTAGGGTCTATATAAGAGACCCCTCCCCTTTATGGAGTTGGCAGTAGCTACAGACCCCCACATGTCCGGTTTTATTCCAGCCTGGCTGCTCAGCTCCACCCTCATGTCACAGCCTGCTTTTCATTGGTACTGATGGGATTTGTAGTTCCAGTATCTGGAGTGGGGGGCAGAGTCCATGAAATCCTGTATCTGTTACAATTTGATGAAGAAAATCTTTGGATGGAGTAGAGCACCTAGGAAAGGATACAGGATAAGTACATAGCAAATCTTTCTAATTTCTTGAGAATCAGTTTTTTTATCCTTGATATAGAGAGCACCATATTTACTGCTGTGTACTAAAAAGGATTGTGTTCAGACAGAGGATGTAGTGTTTATATTCAGTTAAAGTACATGTTAGCCTTCCAAATTTCTTTTTTGGGGTTACACCAGGTTTTATAAAGCTCAGGCACTGAGTTTGCAGTGAGTAAGTGCTACTTTTTGTTTCTAGTAGCAAAGACCTAGATATAGTCCAGATATCCATTGATTGAAGAGTGAGTGCATCTTGACATTATGGTGTGCTAATTACAAGGACTTAGAGGAATTACAAAGAATGATTTGGAGTTGGTATGGAGAGGTCTTCATGTTATTGTACACTAAAAAAGCAAGCTTCAGCCTCTTGTTTTTAACTATTGGGTTGTCATAAAAGGCATGATGTTTTCTTAGAATACTCCGACAACCCATTATTTACTTTAAAAAGAAACAAGGCAGGTGCATGTGACCTAAGTTTTCTGCATTCTGCCTAACTGGTATGACAGGAAGGTTGCAATGGACTCAGGTTCAGCTGGAAGGGAGCTCACCTTGTTCATTGACTGAAGTCTCCCTGGTAATCATGTGTTTGGGTGTGTCTAAGAGAAAATGTATAAAAACACAAGTGACATCATCATTGTTGGATACGTGTGTGAGAGAATTTTTTAAAAAGCTGGTGAGGACTCACCCGACTGAGAATGGCACATCTTAAAAAACAACTAGCAACAACAAATATTGGCGAGGAGGTGGAGAAAAAGGAACTCTCCTGCACTGCTGGTGGGAATGGAAATTAGTACAACCACTATGGAAAACTGTTTGGAGGTTCCTCAAACTGCTAAACATGGAGCTTCCCT